TGAAATTAACAAAATTTATTCATAATCATCTATTTTTCAAAATTCATGGAAAACATTTTTGTTATTATTTTTTTCTCATATTATAATTATTAAAAATAATTTCCATAAAAAATAAATTTAAATAAAATAAAACAAATAATTTTTTTTTTTTGGTAGAAAAAAAAAATCAGTGAAATGAACTCTAAATTGTCATTGGTTGGCTACTAAACTGTTGATGGTAAAATTTAATGATAAAAAAAAAAAGTTACAGTAGAGAAAAGAAACGCATTTTGAAGAGAAAAACATTAACTATACACAATCATTTTATATGGAAATTATAATGAACTGGCGCCATCCATTTTGAATGTTCACTTTGGTTAAGGGAAAATGAAAAAAAAAACAACAGAAAAACGAAAAGTAAAAACGCCAACCAAAACTACAAAAATATTCCTTTTTTTTTTTTAAATTTAATTTAATATATGGATAAGTGTATAATATGTATAAATTAATATTATGGTTTAGATCTAAATATAGGCATATGTATGTATGTATAAGAGTGCTTGTATAAAAAGACAAAATATTTATTAAAATTATTGTCAATCGTTTTGCTCTTTAGTTAATGATTAAAACAGGTGTTCATATATGTACATATATACACGATGTATTCTTATATTAATGCACACCATTACCTTTGACACTCAGAAAAAATTTTACTTCTTCAACAGTTTTTTCAAAAACTATTGGAAAAGGAATGTTACCCACTCGAAATATATACTCGTATAAAAATTTTCGAATGGGAATAATATATTTATTATTTGTGAGCACCTAAGGTGTATTGCACTGATAAGCCATACATATTCAGAATTTATGTCAATTATATAGCTTAAGAGTACACTATGTTTGTATATTTTATATTTTGGGATAAGAAACTTAATTTACTTAAATATTACGTGAAAACTATGCAGTTATTCAGAATAAAATTGATCGATTGCAGTCTTAATTGAGCAATAATTGATGACTTTAGTTTAATAAATTTACACCAAATATTTAAAATTTAAAAGAATAGTTTAGGGGACACGACAGACATTTTGTTATAATTACCGTATTAATTCCACGTTTAATGTTATACCTAATAATTATACATGTAAAATAAAGCAAGAGGACGATATAAATGATATAGATTAAAATTAATATTCAAAATTTGGAAACATAATCTTATCGAAAAACATGTATATATTCAATATTTAATTAATCGACTGTAAACAAGTTCCATCACACCCTTAAATATGGATTTTATCTCATCCTTATAAGGTTCATTCTTATTAAGGTTTCTTTCTATGAAATTGAATGGTAGCATTGCAATTCACTTGAATTGAATTTAATGAAATTCAAAATTTTCTCATATAGTTGTTTAATATATGTGAAAATAATAAGTGACTCGTACATAATCCGATATTATTTGCTTATTTTCGGATAATATCAAAATTTCAATTACAAAGTTTTTGAAAAAAAAAAAGAAAATTTTCAATTAAATTTTGCAAAGACCATTTTAATGTCATAAACAAAATGAAATTAATGGCTGATCCCTTATTAACTATCTTAATTTTATTTTATAATAATGGCAAAAAAAAAAACAAAGTTCGATTAAAAGAATTTAACCTTCGACATAAAAAAGGAACAAAAATATTATTTTAAAATACTCAAAATGCTATTAAAAATTTTTGGAAGTGGATTTTTTTTGCCCTTTTTCTCAAAAAAAGAAAAGAAAATTAATTTACAGGGCTTTTTTTTTAAAAAACATTTCTTATGAAATAAACTAACAGGAATCTTCTCACTTTTGGATATAAATTAAATAAAATCAACGAAAAGCTAAAAAACTAAATAAAAAATAAAGATCGAAAAAATCAAAACGCAAAGATTTTTTTTCAAGGTACCAAAATCGAAAAAGTGAGCATTTCTTGCTAGTTTCTTTTTTTTTTTTTAATTTCTGAATATTTTGTTATATTTATAATATAAATCTCAAAATTTTTTTTAAGAAAACAACAACAACAGCAAAAAAAAACGAGAAAAAAAGTAGAGTTGACCTTGTCAACTCTGTGATACCCGTACGAATTTGTTATCCTATGTGCGAATAACTAATGTGCCATAACTAACTATGGAGCAGACTATGACTTTAAGTTGCCGTATTACCATATTAATTTATGCAAAGTTTCAGTACTATGTGTTTTTCAAAATACTGGTTGTGCGAAACTACTATTGAAGTTGTATGGCAGCTACCAGAAAGAGCTAAGAAATTTTAGCGAATTTTATCAAGCACATCGGCCCTACTAATATATTCACTTGTGTGAAATCTCAATATCACAGCTTTTATAGTTTCTGAGATATAGCCAAATAACTTTTGAAGTTGTATGGCAGGTACCAGAAGGAGCCAAGTAATTTCAACGACTTTTATAAGACACATTGGCCCTACTAATATATTCGTTTGTGTGAAATTTCAATACCATAGCTTTAATAGTTTCTGAAATACAGGCAAAAAACTTTTGAAGTTGTATGGCAGGTACCAGAAGTAATTTCAACGACTTTCATCAGACACATTGGCCCTATTAAAATATTCGTTTGTGTGAAATTTCAATACCATAGCTTTTATAGTTTCTGAGATATAGTCAAATAACTTTTGAAGTTGTATGGCAGGTACCAGAAGGAGCCAAGTAATTTCAACAACTTTTATCAGACATATTGGCCCTACTAATATATTCGTTTGTGTGAAATTTCAATACCACAACTTTTATAGTTTCTGAGATATAGCCAAATAAATTTTGAAGTTGTATGGCAGCTACCCGAACCGGTACCCCGATCACTTCCAATTTAAATAGGGTTCTGGCACTTACTACAATAAATCATTTGTGAAAATTTGGTGAACTTAGCTCAATTAGTTTTTGAGTTATCGTTCGGACGGACGGACGGACGGACGGACGGACGGACGGACAGACAAAGCTAAATCAACTCAGAATTTGACGCTGATCAAAAACATACACTTGAGTCTATATCTAACACCGTTATTTCTTAGCGTTACAAACGGTAAGGCAAATTTAGTATACCCTTCGAACATACGTTCGTACGGGTATAAACACTTAAGAATATTTTAAATACAAGATTACGTATCAGAGAACATGGTGATATCTTATGTTTTCATCGATAACTGTCGTAAGGTTTTTAATATTATGATTTTTTCTTGTTTGTTTCTTCTTCTTTTAAGCAATCTTAACTCTTAAGCAGCCAGTATTACAACACTATTTTGTTTCATTCTTTATTTGTTTTTAATTTTTTTTATTTTAATTCTTTTCATATATATTTTTTTCTTAAACATTTTTTTTTTTATTTTTTTCATCGCAAACAAATTTTTATCGGTCGTTTTGCGTTAAATTAATGGAGGCATGGAATTAAGAGAAAAACATCTTCGGATACCAAATATTTTTAAATAAAAATTTTGAAAATTTAATTTTCGATTTGTTGGTGCATTCGTTTACCCGAAAATTTTATTATCGTATGCTTATTATCACTGAAATCGAAAATTTAGTATCCTTGTTGTTACATAGAACACAATTTCGTCTTAAGATTAATTTTCGTGGAAAACATTAGAAATATATTAAAACCTAAAGTCATTGTACAATAACAGTCACAATGATTTTCAAAAAATTTTCTTAAAAAATAGATTGGTTGTTAGTAGCTATATCAAATTATTAATTTTGTAATTTAGAAATTAAATATATTATTGTTGTCCACTTCGAATGTTATTGGCAGTGGTTAAGGTTGCATTCCGATTTCTTTTAATACAATTATATCAGTCAATGGAAAAACATTTTTACTAAATTATAAAAATTTGAAAGAAATTGTAAATAGACAATTATGGCAGAAATGAAATTACAAAAAAAAAATCGTTTAAATACGAATGTAATGACAATCCAAAAAATCGGGGAAAAAACAAATCCGAAAAATTGGAATGCAAAATATTAAAATTTTTGGTTGCAAAATTGTTTTTGTTGCTAAGCGTAAAGGGCCCATCTTACGCGATAAATTGAAATATTAAATGCGATTTACAGCAGTCTTGTCAAATTCTTGTCTATTTTAATATTTGAGAATAAAGTAAGTTTCATGAAAACTGTTAAAAATTTACAAGATAAGCGAATTTCAAGGAAAATTATGTGATATTATATTTGAATTTCTCCATCTAATCTGATTTCAGATTAAAATCCACAAAATTCATTCAAAAAATACAACATTTTCTTATTGACGCTTTCGCAGTTCTCACTGTGTTTCGACCTTTATTCATATTGCAAGTTTCTACGTTTATTCATTCGACTTCTTTTTTATCTTAAAAATATTTTTATTTTTCTTTTCTTATTTTTTTTTTTTTTTGACAAATTTCATTAACGATTTGTATCTTGTGGATTTTTGGAGCTACTACTATAATTCAGACAAAAAGAACACCAAAAAATCAAAAGTAAAACAATAAAGGAAAAAAAAAAATTAATTTTTTATGCTCTGTTTTTTATGTTCATTTATTATTTTGTTTGTTGTTGTTCTTGTGTGTTGTTTTAATGTTTAAAATCGCTGTTAGTTGGTTTGTTGACATTATGTTTTGATTGTTTTATAATAAATTGGTAGCAACATAACGACAGAATATTAACTAGTTTTTATAAATTTGTTTTTTATTTTAATATACATGGGATTTTTTTTGGTTTGTTTTTTTCGTGTTTTTTTTCCATTCTTCTGGTTTTGAGATTTTTTTCTTTTTTCGGATATAACACACGAACAGAGATTAAAAGAGCTTTTAAATGGATAAATTATTATAATAAGGATTTTTGGGGATCACTTACATTTTAATAGAAGTTGCAATATATAAGGAAAAGTCAATAGAGAGAGAGAGAGAGAGAGAGGGAGAGAGAAATTAAAGGAACATATAGAGAGAAAAAATATTTCATATTTTATTATAAAATTTGATATTTGTTGTAGATACTTACCAGTCTTCTTTTTGGTTTAATTAGAGGTCTATTTTGTCCATTCATTTTATAATAAAGTCCACATGCATTACATAAATAATGTCCTGTACCATCTCTTCGCCATAATGGAGTTGATGTTGCACCACAATTTACACATTCTCGACCTTCTGGAAAAAAAATAAATAATTTGGAAAAAAAAAGAAATTATTGTAGAAATTTATGAATTAATTAATGTAGATTTTAATTAATTATAATATTATTTTTTAATTAAATATAAATTTTAATTTTTTATTTTTAGAAATTAATTTATATTTTAGACTTAAAGTTCATTCCTGTTATTCCTGAATTAATGCGATATTATTAGAATATTATAAAATACTATTGTAATAGAATCGTTTTTTTTTTTGAATCCCTCACCCATCTTCATAACATATTTTGTTAGAATATCCCAATAAACTGTCAATATTTATAACAAACTATGGAATTATATTTTCTGCCTCAGAACGTTACTTAATTTGTGGATAACTTCAAAATTTTTAAAATAAACACAAATATATAATCCAGATTTCCTTTTATGTAATTCTATATTACAAATTTCAGAATCTTAAGACAACAATTTGAATATTTTCTATAACTGGTATAGATAAAATAGAATGGTTGTTATAAAATGAAGTTATGGAGTTTTTTTATTATTTGCAATTATGATAATTTTTTAAATATTTTTTCTGTTTAATAATTTAATAAAGACTGGTAGCAAAATTAGGCATTGACCACCAATACGTTAGTAAAGAAATGAGATTATTGAAACAAGATTTATAAATTTACGGAAATTTTCTAATTAATTAATTTAGCTGTTATCAAAGACAAATTTATTGCATTTGTAAATTTAATTTAAAATTATAACATAATAATTAAATAATAATTAATTATATATTCCTAGTGTAAACTATAAGTATGAATCTAAAGCTTCGTATAACAGCAATGTACAATTTTTACAATTTCCGGTTTCGTATTAAACATACAAAATCTTAGGTAAATTTCAGAACCCGTGTTAGATAGGTACTATACATACCCTCAAGATATTTTGGGATTAAAATCACCGCGTTTTCTTAAATCTAAAAATTTCTCAATTAATTTTGAAAATTTCGATAGTTCAATGACAATTCGAGAATCTGTAAATTTATTTTAACATTTTTTTTTTGTTTTTGACATGAACGAAAATCCTTATAAATCATTTTTTGTAAAATAATTTTTATTCCTTAATTAATTCTTAGAATGTGAATTTATTTTTGAAATTTTTAATTTTCTTCCAAATCAATTGCTTCCATAAAATTCCATTTCAGATCATTGAAACTAAAAGAACTCTAAGTATATATGTATGTAAAATGTGCGTGTGTGCACAAAAAATATATATAATTATTTCAGAAACAAGAAAAAACATAAAATTAAATTTTAATAATCACTCAAAAATTATACTTGACATTTTCATGTATTATAAATGGAAGCTCAAAGAACAATTTTTAGTTGGTTATTTTATTTTGCAGACGACAATGATTAATTAGACCAGGTGTCCTTTTCAAATAGGTATACATATATATATGTATAAATTTTTATGATTGTTATTATGCTGTGTAAGAACCACAGGTATACTATAATATATTTAGGGCTATGTGTCATTTTGGTTTTTGCCTTAATACAGAATATAAAGTAAAAAAAAAGGTCTCTAATCTGCAATTAAAATATTGTTAAAAAAAACAAGGAAAATTGATTAACGCCCTAATTCAAATTGTCAGTTCTGTTCATTATTATTATAAAAATTTTAAGAAACAGCACAGTGTCATTTAGAAAAGACTGAAAGTGATAATTAATTTTAAATATAATATGCATGTGTATGCAATTGTAATATTATAATATGTGCCTATGTAATAAGTGAATTGGATATACACAATTAATGGAAAACTTACTATAAATTGCTATAGAATCGTGGTATAAAAAATTAAAATTTTTACACCTTTAATCTTTAAACAAATCGAATTAAAAATGAAGTATATTTTCTTACAAAAATTAAGTTACCATTGTGTTAGAAACATTCTAATAGAAAATATTGTGAATAATACTACAACAATAAAGTTAAAGGTTAATTGTAACTTCGACTTTACGAGTGGTTGTAACCTATTATAAATTGAATCAAAGATTTAGTGTTAGTGATGCACTTCAAAATTTCACAGCTGTAATAAAATACGCTTCCTTGTAATTAAGTGGTGACATAATAATGGAAAATGAATTTTTATGCTGCTTGCACTTTAAACCAGCCTATCAAATTTGTTTTATTTTCTAATCTTGAATTGGCTGCCTGTTCAAACATACGACTTATTAGCAGATTTAATTCATTGTTGTATTGTTTCTCTATACAAAGTTTTAAAACTGACAAATTTTGAAGTGTTGCTTTCTATGTTTATAATAAACTTGCCGTAGTTGGAAAAAAATTTTGTAGATTTTGAAGTGCAATTTCGTATCATGATTATATTGGCATAGCTTAAAACGACAATGAAATTAAAATTGCAAAAGAGTGTTAAAATTATCTTGTTTTTAATAAAATTCAAAATGGACCTTAAAGAAAATGAGAATCTTGCGTTTCGTCTTGTGAATAATATCTAAATTCTTCTCCGTTTGGGCGAGATATCATTCAATATTTTGTATTCAATTAATTTGCTAAATTTTAGCCTGATTAAGCTAAAAAATTACACAAAACTTCTTAAACTTAGAATTTTTGCAAAATTTTAAAATTATTCTTAAAATTTCGAAAGAAAAAATACACTTATGATTTTGATGTAAAAAGCGCGACCATTTCCTCTCAAAATTCAATGGAAATATTCAATCCATTTCCTTTTTTATATACCTTTTCGGTTAAAGTATTCTTTGAGTCACAGCAGCATATTTAACCAATTATTTAAGAAAACAAATAACCCATAACTTACGGGGTTTTGTGAAAAACCACAATTTTTATTTGTTTTGCGGTTAAAACGAAATCAAAAGATAAACGAGGAATCAAATGTGTAATAAATTAGAAGAAATGCTGGTCATTCAAAGAAGATCAATTTTTAAATAAAATTTTATATAATAACATACATTTAAAGGCATTAAATAATTTCGAAATTCTTTATTAACATGTCGTTTTATTAAAATTGTAAAGCAGTCCTTATATGAAATTATTTGATATTAAAAATACGAAATATAACAATTACGAAATGAGCTTTTCAGCTCTTAAATTATCCAATTTTGGAAGATAATCATAAGTTAGTAGAATATTGAACCTTTGCAATAAATTTAAATTCATACTGAATTTCAAAAAGCTCAAAAGTAGGGTGCGGTTTAAGAAGAAATAGCGATAAAGCTCAATTTCAATTCAATATTCTTATATGCAGCATAAGTTAAAATCTGGAACCTTTAATGAATATTGCAAACAAGCTATTATTAAAACAAATAAGAAAGTTTTTAATTCAAAATATAATATTTGTTGACTTTATAAAGTATAAACTTAATTGATAAGCCAAATAAATCATTCAACTGGTATTCTTTATTATTGATAACAGTAAAACAAATAATAATGCGTCCGTAATCCGCATTCGTATGTCATCACATAAAATCTATAATCCAAAAATACCACTGTTATTAATGCTCAATACTACATACTTGACGTCTGGTAAAATACAATAGTAGAGTAAAATTTTAATTAAAAATATGTAAAATTAAATATACAAATTGCGACTTGGTTCAAGCGAATATTTTGATAAAATCAAAAATTAAAGTTGAAAAAAATTTCTTATTTGTTATACATTCCTATTCTAGTACATAGTAAATCAAATAAAAAAAAATCTAAGTATGTTGTTATATAAATAATTGTCATCACTTCAAAATTTTGCCTCGTTATTCAGAAATACTATTTCTATATACATAATGTATATTAAAATTGAATTAAGAGGATAAGAAAACTGACAAGCCTATACTAATTTAAAGCCACACAAAATCTAAAATTTCCAATCCACATGATTTTTTATTAAAATCTTTTTAAGTAGCTAAGGTGTTGTTTTTTAAAGAAAAGGTGTTAATAATACTGATTATATGCGTAATGAATATTATAAGACCACCAATGTTGTTCTGTAAAATTTTATGGTAAAGTCTCGTATTTAACCTTTTTATAAATAAACTACTTTTGAATACTAAATATCAATTGATTTATATTTTATATTGATTTTCTTTCTTTAATATAATATGGTGTTATAGATTTAATTTACAGAATTAAAATTATCTTTTCGATTGAAAGCAATGATTAGAAGAGAAATTGAAAGGTCTATATATTATATATGACTCAATTAGATGATAGTACATGTTGTTAAACATAATTACGGTTATTGAATCTAAAATTTTAAATTCATAAAGTATATATAGAAGAAATAAGACTAGAATTGATGCCAAATAAAAGCCACAATATTGTATTTAAATAAATTATAATGTCATCATTATGTTAGAGGATAGATGATTACAGTTATGGCGCAGTAGAGTCGAAATACTAATTTTTTAATCATATTTTATTTCGTTATTCTATATACTGCCAGTAAAATCGATATTTCTAGCTTAATTTTTAAGAAAAATGCTCCATAAGAGTTCTTAAACCGAATAAGTTCTATGTAAGGCAATAAAGTAAATTTAAAATTGATTTTAATACATGAAAAATATTCAAGTTTCCATTGCGTATTTAATGTAAGCAATTAAATAAGAATTTCGTAATGTATTTTCTGAGGAATTTCAAATAATTTTACATAGATACTGCGGAATATCATTAATTATACAGTAGAACCTGAATAAGAGGTACCTGGATTCTTATTCAACTTCTTTAAATGAATTACATTTTTCCGGTCCCTTGAATTTTCTAACAAAATCTCTTTCTCTGAGAGGAATGTCTGTGTACTTTAAATAATGCAATAAATTTTGTAAATTTTGTGCACTATTTCAGTACATTTTTACTTACCTCAATAAAAGGAATATTTTTATGATTACCGCTTTAAGTGTACCATTTTTCTTTTTTTTAATTTTGGTGATATTTAAATTCTCGGATTGACACACGTTTAACATAAAAATTATCGAAACAAGAACACAAAAAAAAAGT